ACTATAAGTGATCACTGTCTGAGCCACACACAGATCAATCCCCAAATCCAGTCCTACTGTAAGTGATCACTGTCTGAGCCACACACATATCAATCCCCAAATCCAGTCCTACTGTAAGTGATCACTGTCAGAGCCACACGTAGATCAATCCCCAAATCCAGTCCTCCTGTAAGTGATCACTGTCTGAGCCACACACAGGTCAATCCCTAAATCCAGTCTTACTGTAGGTGATCACTGTCTAAAACACACACAGGTCAATCCCCAAATCCAGTCTTACTGTAAGTGATCACTGTCTGAGCCACACACAGGTCAATCCCTAAATCCAGTCTTACTGTAAGTGATCACTGTCTGAGCTACACACAGGTCAATCCCTAAATCCAGTCTTACTGTAGGTGACCACTGTCTGAGCCACACACAGGTCAATCCCTAAATCCAGTCTTACTGTAGGTGACCACTGTCACACAGGTCAATCCCTAAATCCAGTCTTACTGTAGGTGACCACTGTGTTTCAATGAGTTGTACAAATGCTAACAATGCAAGTGTCACTGGACTGCAAAACGTTAATTATGATAACAATACTGGGTTTATAATTTATATAGTTCAACTACAAGGTTCATTTACAGAATTTTCAATCATTTTACTGTCTGCTATATTTGAGATGTTTCTTAGTGCTTAGATTCAGAAAATGTCGTTTAAAATTCTATAATAATCGGCTGTAAAAATTTATAATGAGTAGAAATTCAGCTTCCTAAACTGTTATCACAGATTTGGCGGTAAACAAGAACATATATGGCCTCACCCTGTTTTAGGGATGACTTTCTATTTAATCTGTATGTTCTTATCGCCACAGCAGTAAAGAACTCACCCAACAAACTAGTCCATCAATAACTTAATTGCACCTTAATACATTCCAGGTTGAAGTAAACTCAAAAATATTACAGTGTACAATTGGAGGATTTATTCTAATATTTACATGTAAAAGCAATATGTTTTAATGTCATCAAGATGCTGGCACCATTACTCTTCTTTGTTGTTCTTCTTTCCTCTTTTCATCTGGAAAAAACAATAAAATAATGATTATCAAATCTGTATTTTGAATTTCATATAGAGCACAATCACAGTAACAATGAATACAATATAAAGTTATTATTGCATTTTATACTATTTTTCTCGGCAAAGCATATAGTGTGTGTGTACATTTGTTTTTTTGTTTCACTAATACACTAGTATGAGAGGGAGACAGGTGTGAACACAATGTATATGTTGTACAAGACTTGCAAATCAAGTTAAACCCCTTTAAAAGGGGGTATATGCACAGGCATAGCTATTACATAACACTTCTGCTAAAGTACAATCAGATGTGAATACAAAATACTGTAATTTTGTGCATTATTAAATGCATAATTACACAATGGAAGCAACTCAGGGGGCCAACATACATGATGGGATGCAACTCAGGGAGCCAACATACATGATGGGATGCAACTCAGGGAGCCAACATACATGATGGGATGCAACTCAGGGAGCCAACATACATGATGGGATGCAACTCAGGGAGCCAACATACATGATGGGATGCAACTCAGGGAGCCAACATACATGATGGGATGCAACTCAGGGAGCCAACATACATGATGGGATGCAACTCAGGGAGCCAACGTACACGATGGGATGCAACTCAGGGAGCCAACATACATGATGGGATGCAACTCAGGGAGCCAACATACATGATGGGATGCAACTCAGGGAGCCAACGTACACTGATGGGATGCAACTCAGGGAGG